ATCATGGTGCAAACAGTAAATCATGGTGTAAACAGAGGTAATAGGCTGTCAACCAGGCTTTGTTGTTCCATTTCCACAACACAAGCAGAGCAGATTCAGTGCGATTCTCAAGGGCCCTGGGATTTTGGAATGGCAAATAAGCATTGGCTTCAACTTTAAGTCGCCAGCTGCGTGTGTCTCTGCGAGAGTCACCCTGTCCTTTGAAGCTTCGAAGTCGGGCGTTGGCTTCCCTCTCACCATGAAAGTCCTAGATGGCATCTCTTCCGATAGAGGCTGTTCAATTTACACTGAAAATCCGTTGTTTAGGGCAGACACCGGCGTCAGTTATGTCAGCTGAAGTCTCTGGGTAAGTCACTGTAGCCGCTACATCAACGCTTGCTGCTCCACTCTGTGCTTTTATGTTATGGAGACAGCTTCTTTCCTTAAACCCCTGAACCAACTTCTGCTAACCTCCAACTTTTCTTCTACAGCCTCCTCGTGTCTGCTAGCCTTCATAAAATTGAAGAGAGTTAGGGCTTTGCTCTGGATTGAGCTTTGGCTTAAGAGAATATTGTGGCTGGTGTGATCTGTCCAGATCACTAAAACTTTCTCCGTATCAGCAATAAGCTGTTTGGCTTCCTTGTCACTCGTGTGTTCCTTGGAGCCGCATTTCTAGTTTCCTTCAAGAACTTCTTTGTATTCGCAACTTGGCTAACCGGTGCACAAGGTCTAGCTTTCGGCCTGTCTCGGCTTTCGACATGCCTTTCTCACTAGACGCCACCATTTATAGCTTTTGATTTAAAGTCACAGACATGCCACTCTTCCTTCAACTTGAACACTTCGATGGCCTTGGAGAGTTAGTAATTGGTCTACTTTCAAGATTGTCCCATCTCAGGGCTAGGGAGGCCAGAGGAGGGGAGAGACGGGGGAACAGCGGGGGGCGGAGCCATCGGAGCACACGCATCATTTATCGACTACCTTTGTTGTCTTTTAAAGGGACAGTTTGTGGCACCACAGAACCATCGCAACATTAACATCAAAGATCACTGGTCACAGCCACCATAACACAGACAATAATAAAAAATCTGAATTACCGAAGTGTGACACACAGGCATGAAGTGAGCATATGCCATTGGAAAAATGACACCAGCAGACTCGCTGGGCACAGGGTTGTCACGAAGCTTCAACTTGTACAGAGCACAGTGTCTGTGAAGGGCAATGAAACAAAGTGTGCCTGTAGCAGGACTGACCATCTGATTTTTGTCACTGTAGCATCATTCACTTAGGTGACTGCTAACTGTGAAACAGACTGCAGCAGGTTTGCAGCAGGGTTCACCCACGTTATTTGCCTTTGATCTGCTCCTACTTGCCTTCCTTGTGAGAGGGATTCCAGCTGGACTGGACATCCTGTGTTTTTTAAATGTTGAGACTTGGTCTGTCACCAGGACCGAAGCTTTTGCGAGGGAAATTTTCAAAAGCGTCGGTGGAGGGAGTTCTATGTTTTGAGCTGTCCACCTAATACAAAATGTTCTTCTGTAAAATCTTTAGTCATTCTCAATATCCTCTTCTATTGTTCCTCAATTTTAAAAAATCTATTCTATGGATATGATAAGGCTATGTATTCAGTACTAAGCTATACACTGATAGGTGCATTCCTAAGAACCTTCGATTTGGCATAAGCCAAAGAAACAATCAGTACAAATGTGGGGTTAGAACAGGAGGGCTTTAGCTTTGCAGTTGCATGCTACTTTTGTCACAGGAATTCCAATAGTAATTTTATACCTGTTAACGCACAGCTAAAAATCAAAATAACACTAAACAAAACCACTCTTTGACAACGTGGAATCTTTCCTTCCCTTTCCTCCCCCTCCAACGCTGTTGTTGACACACAGCTTCTTACACATGTTCTCATTATATGCACCGTCATAATATTGGCCAGCGTTAAGCATTGCCTAATGTGCCAGGCATCATTGTAAGCATTTTAAAAATATTTTCTTGGCCGGGCGCTGTGGCTCACGCCTGTAATCCTAGCACTTTGGGAGGCCGAGGCGGGCGGATTGCTCAAGGTCAGGAGTTCGAAACCAGCCTGAACGAGACCCCGTCTCTACCAAAAAATAGAAAGAAATTAATTGACCAACTAAAAATATATATACAAAAAATTAGCCGGGCATGGTGGCACATGCCTGTAGTCCCAGCTACTGGGGAGGCTGAGGCAGTAGGATCGCTGAGCCCAGGAGATTGAGGTTGCTGTGAGCCAGGCTGACGCCACGGCACTCACTCTAGCCTGGGCAACAAAGAGAGACTCTGTCTCAAAAAAAAAAAAAATAAATATTTTCTCATTTTATCTTCATAGCAAGTTTATAGCATAGGTGTTCTCACTAGCACCTGCAACCAAGATCAGTAAGGATGTAAGATGATGGTTAATTCTGTTTAATATGGTTAAAAAGTGAACGAGGGAGCTAGCTATCTAGATTACTGTCCCAAAACACAATACAAGTGTTAGGAACAGGTGCGGGTGGCAGAGCTAATCACAGGAAAAGAGGACGGGGCAAAAAGGAGGAGGCCAGTGAGCATTCAGAGCCAAGCCCACGGGAGCGGAACCTTTAGCAGGTTAGGGGCTTTCCCAGCCAGGGGCATGCACAGGAACTAGGAGCTCACTCCACAGTGACCTTTTCCCTATTAACATACATTAGCATAGCAAAACTCACACTTGCCTGCCAGCCTCCTGACAGAAAATGTCACGGCAACCCCTGGAAGTTACCTCATGAGGATAAAATTGGGGAAGGCCCTTAGCTCTGAGAACTCTCCACCTTTTCCCAGGAAAATAATGACTATTCTGCCCACTGTCTAGCATATCATAAGGTGCAGACATTACAGTAGAAGAGTAGTAAAACCCAGGGTCTCTACTCACTGAGACACACCTGTTTCCCTCTGGGAACGTACCTGCACGTTCTACTCTGAAAAGCCTGCAGTGGCATCTGCTCGTGCCCGAGTGCCATTTGCCTGCGTCTCGGCCACGCCAGCCCTGCTTGCGATTGTTCCAAGCAAGGAGCCAAAGAACTGGGATGACACCCCTCACAGCAACCCCGGCACGAGGAATATTAATAATTTTACATTAAAAATGTAAAAAGAAACAGGTGAAATTAAGTTTAGTGCAAGTTTATTAAACCAAATCTATCTACATTACCATTTTAAAATGTAATCAATGTAAAAATTATTATGATATATTTATATTGTTTTCATACCTCGTCTCTGAAATCTGGTGATTATTTTACGTTCACAGCTCCTCTCTATTTGGAATAGCCACACTTCAAGTGCTCAATAGCTGTACACAGCTAATGCTGATCTGATTAGGTGTAGATCTAGACAAGGAAATGCATAAAGGATCATTAAATTTGACCAGGAGATTAGGAAGAAAGTACTAAGAAATATATAATTCTGTATGCATAATTTCATGTCAAATAAAACACTAGCCAGTTGGAAAACTTGAGTAGCAAGGGAGGAGATAATAGGGTGTAAATTCTCAGATCAGGAGAATAAATTTTCTGAGTAATTGGGTTTTCTTGCAAGGAAAAGTAGTCAGGAGTCAGGATGGAGAAAGAAAAAATAATTGTCAATTCTAATGTTTTTAACTCTTATACTTTGTGTTGGGGTAGTAAACACTATAAGAAAAAATATAAATATAGCGTTTAAAGGGAGATATGCTTAAGGAGTAGTATGGACTATGAGCAAAATAATCTATGAAAAAAGAGTAAACTTCCTGAGCAAAGATCAACATAAATAAAAGATTAAGTAAATTGATAGAAAAAAATATATAAAATTTGGGGAAAATAGATATTAGGTACATGTTCCATGGCCATATCTGGTACATTTTTAAAACTTTTATTTTGAAATAACATTGCACTTGCTGAAGAGTAGCAGAGATAGTACAAAGTATTCTTCTATCCCTTCACACACTTTAATGTTACATTTTATAGAACCATGATATATGTACATAAAATTAAGAAGTTGACAATGGTAGTATAAAATTAAGGCAACTGATTTTGATTTTACTGGTCTATTTTCATGTGTATGTTTGATTTTTTTCTCTTATAAATTTATATGCAGAGACAAAGAAAAAAATTATCCATTGAATGATCCAGAACTCTGCTGAGGAGTTGACAAACTCCTGCAGAGGGCTTTATCTATACATTCAGGTAGATGAGGCTGACCACAAATTTGAATCTCTAAACTTAAACTGATAAGAGGTCATTGAAAATTGAGAGAGAAGTCAAGATAATAAGAGGAAGGTGTGGTCAGAAAGGAGGAGCAGAGAGATAGAAACAGAAGAATGCCTTAGAACCACACATCTGGGTATAATAGAGCATTTGAAACAATACCTGTATGTGACTTTTATATCTCTGTGGTCCAATTTAATTGTTTCTTTAAACAAATATGACGAAATTGACCATCGTTGCAACAAGAAAATTACTTTTCTCTCTTATTGCCAGCTAACATAAAAAACAATTTAATCATTTTAATGCTATAGACATACTGAGGATATGATCTCTTTTTACACATACGCTTGATAAATAGGATCGAGAGTGCTTTGAGATCAGAGCATCTATGGGGAGGAGTCTCCAGAATGTGTTCTTTCATCTCCAAAGTCACTGTTCTTCAGTGAGCACCACGCAAAAACCAGTGTTCTGAAACTCCCAGAACTTGGTCACATTCTCTGGAATATTTTATAATGAATTCATGGGTTTTAAATTAATGATCTCAGGCACCAAGCACTGTAGGTAAATGCCCGATACATTCTAACCCTCCCCCTAAATTTCTTGTAAAGTTTCACTTGTGGACCAATCTATCAGAAAGATCAAGTTTAACCAAAAACAGAGAGGAAAAAAAGGAAAAAAAAAACCTCTTCAGATTTCAATGTGCATCTATATCTACATCAATACATTTAATAAAAAAGCTCTTAGAAATCCACGCGGAGAGGCCGTTCTAGAGCCCTTCCCGTGGCATGTCTGACCGTTGCCGATGTCGGGTTCTATTCCCATCAATCCGGGAAGCCAGCATCCTAGGCTGCTTTGTAAGTGGGTCTTTCAAGTATGATTCATATTGTCAGAGAAAAATATAAACAACAGTGAAATGTGGGCCAAAGTAAATATTAATTTAAAAACTGTAACCCTAGGTCCAAAATGAAGTAACTTTTTTTGGCTAACATCTGCAGTTTTGCTAGGCTGTCTGCACTTAAAGTAAATGAGAAAAAAGAAGGAAAAAGGCTGAGGAGGGGAAACATTAGTGCTAATAGGCACAATTTATGAGAGAAAGCCGAGCAAGAAGTGAGTTGTGCGTTCTCCTCGACAGCCCGGCCCTCCTCTATGGGCGAGCATTTCTTTGGCAGCGCGGCTTCCGGGAGCACGTGGAGCCCGGGCGTCCGTGGATGCCGGCTCTGCCCCCACCCGGGGCGGCCCTCCCCTCACAGCCTGCTGCGCCCCAAGCCGCCCTGGGCAGAGATCTAATCCGGTCCCGTACTTTCCCACAGAGGTCTGCGCAGCGTTCTGGATTCGAGCCACAGGGAGAGTCCTAGGAGAGAAATGTTGCTGCCAAGGAAGATGTCGCCCTAGCTGTTTATTTCCTCATGGGCTGAAGGCTTTCTCATGCAATTGAACAGACGCCTTCAAGTCTCAGGCTTAATGCACTCTACAGTTTGCCCAGTGCTTTTGGATTGTGTGGACACACTGGCCTTCGCAGTGATAACCCACGACCAGACCAGAACAGGTGTTCGTATTCCCGATCTTATAAATTAGGAAATAGGCTGAAAACTGTTAATGATTTGCTAGGTCTTATATATTTTATCCTCCTTAAAAATACATAGAATATCCTTCCATATTCCATCACCAATGACAGTTTTTTATTTTTAATTAAAATATGGGTATGTATGTGATATCTTTTGAACAACTTCATAATGCATATATTAAAACGACCAGAAAAATATTCTTATTGACTGTCCTCATACATGCAAATCAGATTTAGAAGGTGAAAATGTATGCTTATCCTAAAACTTTGATGTAGGAAATGCTATAAATTCTCCACCTTTTCAATCATTAGCTGGTCTTCTAGAATTTTCCATGAGTCTTTGAAATATTTAATTTTGATTCTGTTACAGCTGTTTTAAATAAAAGAAACTTCCAAGAAAGAAGCACTACTTTCTTTAGTGCTTTAAAATCTATTATGGAACATAAATAGAAAACACTTTTATTAATATCAATGTTAAATAACTTATGGGTCACATTTACAAATTTGAATACCTGTTGTGTATAGAAAAAGATATATAAATACCAAAATTGGGAAACCTTCTGTCCCTGCTAGTTTTTCTGTTGCACCTCATACTGAAAAAAATTGGAGCCACAATATATGGTAAGTGCTTAGTTATTAAGATGGAAAAGGCATTAAATTTATGGATGGAAGACATGAATAGAAAAATGTTCTGATTGATGGCAATCCAATTTGGTACTATCTGTAGTTTCAGGCATCCATGGGGGATCTTGGAACGTATTCTTAAAGATAAAGGGAGTCTATTATATCAGATAAATTCACTTGCCAAACTGAATGCCTGCCATTGCCTTAGACACATAGTCATTTGCTGTAAAAAATTTATTTAAATTAAATTTGAAGTAGGACCAATGTGTTTTTCACATCACTGCTGTCTACCTGGAGTAGTACTGCAAAAAGGCAGATAACCCAAAATGTTAGACAATTTCATCACTTACATGACATAATTTTTGGAAGAATCTTAGCTTCCTGCTAATGGTTGACTGGCATTGTTGTAAGGCAATGGGTATCACAGCTGGAAGGATTGTGAAGCTTATAAAAACATGACTGAGGTCTTCTATGGGAGAGTTTATAGTAGCTAATTTTAAAAAAAGCACACTGATTTGTATATCATAGTTACTCAATAAGATTTATTGAGTAAAATAATTTAAAACTTAAAAAAAAAAGACAGGTAGATGAGGACTACCTATGTGACATAAGTTTTGCCCAAGCTGACAATAAAATTTATTTTTGCCATAGAGATAAATCATAAAAACCAAAGAAGCAATAATTTATTTTTGAAAAATTATACCAGATTATCAGTAATCTCTTATAAATGCAATACATCTCACCATAAATTTCTCCCAATCTATGAGTGACCCATTAGCTCTCTTAATGGTATCTTTTGATAAATAAAGATTATTAAATGCAATGAACTTATATTTGTAAAATTTTTATGGTTAATCCTTATGTCCTATTAAAATTTTTTAGCAAATTTCAAAGTCTCATAAAGATGTTCTAGATGAAGTCAATAAAAAGAAATTCTAAAAAGAAAAAAAGAAAAAGAAAGACAAAAAACAAACAAATAACACTTCCTCTGCCCAAGCATGTGCTTTATTGTGGCTACTAAAACAACTTTGTGTAGAATTGAAGGATTGAGTTTAAAGACTCATTTCTTCTAAATATTAACTTCCTTTGTGGTTTAGCAAGCAGAGGGCATCAGAGAAATTGCTTAAGTGCTATGTGTTTACAGTTCTGCAGATTGTCATTGGCTGCTGGGATTCATCCAAGAAACTGTCAAATATCTAATTTCTATTATGTCACAATGAAATAACTATTGTACTTAGTATTTTAAAAACTGTTTGTTCTTTTTACACTGCTCGATTTTTACCCCTTGTGCCAGGAAGAGATTTTCAGAGATGAATACAGAGTTTAATAAGTTTATTTCAAGGATTATAAATGTCACCCATAATTTATTGCAATTTTACTATGAAGATACTAAAATAAGCCAAAAGAAGAAAAATAAATTTGAAAGTAGAAAAATAAAAAAAGGAGAAAATAAAAAGACAGAGTAGTGACGGTTCTACATCAAAATGTTTACCAAAGTCACTTGTTACTGTAGGACAATGGACACATTCAATTTGTGTGTGCGTATGTATACACACACAACTAACAAACCCAAATGAATACACACAGTATCTGTTTTCTTCAATTGTCTATATTTTTCAACCGTTTTGTAAGAATATAACAATTTCACATCATGAAATATATTATTACTATTATACAATTGTGTCTAGGCTGCAAAACTTTCCCTGGCTATGGCATTAGCATGTAGGTGTTTATTTTTAATGAAAGTCTATCAACTTGGTTTATTTACTTAACCACTATACACTTATAAAAGTAATTTCTAAATTGTGTTTCATGTTCTAGAATCATAAAACTAAATTTAAGTTATAACATTGGATTTTGATACCTAAATATTGCACACTTTCTAAATTCTTAAGAACCTTCTTATGGAACTAAGCCATCACTCATCATAACGGGTAAGTCTATGTAGTTAAAAATATCTGCAGCTAGGATATCTTTCTTATCATGCCAATTTTGAGCATGTGCATCTGCAGTTAATTAAAACAGTGTGCATAAAAATGTCTAACATTTTTTTACAAGAATTTTAGTTTCATGGGTGGGCCTTCTTTATGGTGAATGCAATTAATGTGGCAGTCCTCTTAGAGTCTGGAGTCTTAGCCGAGCATTAGTACATGACAAAATAGGATCTATTATCTGTTTATCATGAATAGCATGTTAAAGCTTCTATAATATTTATACTCTCACATCTGTTTACATTTACAGCTTTTAGAGTATTCAAAACTGGACCGTTGACTAGAGAAAATAGAATTTATGTGACTTTGATACTTTGAACATGATCAAATAAAAGAATAGCGTTGTTAAATACTAAAGGTAACAGATAACTAAGAAATTGTTCTCCATAGAAGTGAATCAGTTAGGATTTTTTTAGGTGCAATTACCTTATGACCTGACAATAGTGGCTTAAACACAATAAATTTTTTTTCTTCATTTAGAGATGTGAGCTAAAATAAAATCTTAAGGCTCTCTCCCCCACTGGCTGACTGAATGGACCCCTCTTGGCCAAGAGGATATCCTAAAACTAAATTGCCTGCCACGAAGAAGGAGGTCAGACATGCCTCATCTTCCTCTCCCCTCTTCTTGGAGATAGCTTTTGTAACCCATTAACAGGCCTAAGGGTATCCAAGACAAAACTACAGGTCCTCAATTTATACAACAAATGTATGTTGGGTGGCTTGTCTCTGATAAACAGCTCCTTATCTTAAAACATTCCAAGGCTTTAGACAAAACTCCATGTCTTTAAACAATTACAAGTCAAAGAATCTTCAAACCCACCTATAACCTGTAAGCTCTCCTCTTTGAGATGGCCCACCTTTTTGGGCCAAACCAATGTATGCCTCCCACATAATTGATTTATGACTTTACCTGTAACCCCTGTTTCCCTGAAATGTATAAAACCAAAGTGTAACCCAGCCACAACAAGTCCACTTGCTCAGGGCTTCTTGGGCATGGCTCCGGGTCATGGTCCTCAACTTTGGCTCAGAATAAATCTCTTTAAAATTATTTTACAGAGTTTTGCTTCTTTTATGTTAACAAAGCCATTGTTTTAATTGGTAAGACAGCTTTATGACATTAGAACATTTTTTTTCATGGTTAAAACATGCCTGTTGTCAAAAAAGAACTAAATAAATGAAAAGATATTCTACATTTATGGATAGGAAGACTTAATATTATCAAGATGTCAATTCTTTGCAACTTGATCTATAAATTCAGTGGGATCCAAATCAAAATCCCATCAAATTATTTTGTGGATATTGACAAACCAGTTTTAAAGTCTCTATGCTGAGGCAAAAACCCTGAATATCCAACACAATATTGAAGGAGAAAAACAAAGTTGAAGGACTGACACCATCTGATTTCAATATTTAGTATAAAGCTATAGTCATCAAGATGCTGTGGTATTAGTGGAAGAATAGACATAACAGAATAGAGAACCCAGAAATAATCCCACATAAATATAGTCAATGATCTTTGACAAAGGAGTCAAGGCAATACAATGGAGAAAAGACCGTCTTTCCAGCAAATGGTGCTGAATCTACTGGACATCTACACACACACAAATAAATCCAAACACAGATCTATGCCCTTCACAAAAATTAACTCAAAATAGATCATCAAAATGTAAAATACAAAACTATAAAACTCCCAGGAGATAACATAGGAAAAAAGACAGATGGCTTAGGAATTGGCAATGACTTTTTAGGGCATGGTCAGTGAAAAAAAGAATTCACAAGCTGAACTTTATTAAAATTAAAAATTTATGTTTCACCTGCAAAATTCACTGTCAAGAGAGTGAAAAAACAAGCCACAAACTGGAATAAAATATTTGCAAAAGAACTCTTAAAACTCAAGGATAAGAAAACAGCACAATTTAAAAATGAGTCAAAGACCTTAACAGACGTCTTACAAAAGAAGATTCACAGATGGCAAACAATCATATGAGAAGATGCTTCACATCATGTGTCATCAGTTAAAGGCAGGTCAAAGCAACGATGAGGTTCTGCTACACACCTGTTAGAATATTCAAAATCCAAAACACAGATAGCACCGAATGCGGATGTGGATGTGGAGCAAAGGGACTTTGCGTCACTGGTAGGAATGCAAAGTCACGCAGCAGCTTTGGAAGACAGTTTGGCAGTTTCTTACAAAACGGAATAGTATACTCATTCTATCTGATCCAGCAATCGTGCTACCTTGTATTTACCCAAAGGAGCTGAAAACCTGTGTCCTCACAAAACCTCATGCAGGTGTTTATGGCAGCTTTACACATAATTTCCCGAACTTGGAAGCAACCAAGATGTCCTTCAGCAAGTAAATATACG